AAATAAATATAAAAATATATATTAAACTAAATGCATATCAATTATTTTCCATTTTCCTTTGTATAGTTTGAACTTTGACACCTCTTTTTCTCCGTAAGGAGTTCGCAAAACTTTGCTGCAAAGGAGTTTGCAAAAAGGGTTAGGTGGAAATTCCTTGGCATACATGCATGGTTATTAGTTAGGCTGAATTTTTTTTGCCAACCTAGCTAGTAATTAATATTATTTCTTATCTTTATGGTAGCTATAATATGCAGAAAAAGATATGTCACTCTCTTAACCATAGATGAACAGCGGGGTCGTTGAACAACCATTAATGATTAGGGGCAAAATTATGATTTAGGGCAATTAATAATTAATTAACAACATGCAATGTTAAAATTAGTGTGCCATTATTTAATAACTAAAACTGTGGCAATAATCACACCCTAGTCCACTTGTTAATATATAAAAATTTTCTTGAGTGATATCGAAATAAGGTTAAAAGTTTATGAAAGGTCACTCATAAAAAATCCTGCTCTCTATTTTAGTTAATTTAAGTTTTTATTTTAGTTTATATATATTTTCAATTCTCATGAAGCAAAGCACAACATTAATTAATTTTAGTTTGTGCCCCTTTATTCCTTTAAGAGGGTTTGATGACTTGGAAATGCTTGGAAAGGCCATGCATGAAATTTTTAATTGATTAAAAAATATTTTTTTGGGTGGATATATAGCTATCAAATACATATACACCTGCACCAGAAAAGTTTTTCAGAAAAATATCTTTTAATTCCTTTTTAACCTTGCCAAGCTGCTATTGGTTATTCTCACATTCTCTCCCCCTCCGTGAATCAGACATTTGATTATTTTCAAAGCAATTTTAGGAGCATATTTTCACATTATTAAACTAATCAATTTAAAAAAATTAATTTTTTTAAGTGTTGGTGTTAAAATCTAAACCCAAACGATAAAAAATTTTGTTTTTTCTGAATTTTATTTTATTTTATATTAACCTTTCGATATCCAATAATTACATTGGATTCTGATTAATCTAAAATCAAATCGCGTCAGATCCTATCAGGGAGAAACTCTTCCAATGCTTATTTTTCCATTCACAGTATTTAAATTAAAGAACTTATTTAAAAAAAACCAAATTCATTTCACTCAAACCAATAGATTGTTGGTCTTTTACGAATTTAATTTTCAACATTAAGGTATTGTGTCAAAATATTTTGAACATAACTTACGTAATTGCGATATCAACATTTCTTAAAAATTTCAACACTAATACTACTTTACCAATGCTTTGGTCAACGTTAATGTAATATTTACGATGCTATTTATTATAACAGTTTGTACTGAAAAAGGTCATTTTTAATGTCATAATCGAGGTTTCTTTTATTTTGTTAAGTCTTTATACCTAACCTACAATACTATGTGATTCAATTCTATGGGTTATTTCAAGTCTTTTGCTTGACTTAGTTCTCTATGTACCTGCAAGTCGCCTTATCCAAACAGAGACAAAACTCCACCTGACGGGGTAGCATAGCAAGCATATATGATTCATTGTGATATTGAGAATTAAGTTAGGTAATTAAGGTTTCTGGGCAGACTGGGCAATTTAGGAGTTATTCATTAGGACCATTAGTTATGGTTTTTAATTTGTATCCACTCTAGAATGTTCTAACTGGAAGTTGCAGATTTGTTATGTGCATAGCTTCTAGCCATGCAGGTAAAGGCAGGTGTTTTTTTTTTTTTTTTAACAAATTTACAAGAGGTCAAAGTTGAACTGTTATTAGGGCAAAGAATGTACTTTAAACGTGACTTGATGTCACTAGACCAAAGTTCCAAGTGTGTAAAGGCAGGTTATTTTGGTTAAAAGTATGATTGTTAATTTAATTTGTTTATTTAGAACTTATTGCGCCTTCAGACATTATATATAACCAAAAGGAAACCTGAAACTGAAAGACATTGACAGCCTTACCAATGAAGCAAGTCATAATTGTTGGGCAAACCCATTAAAAGTACAATAAAAGTGAAAAGATTTATTGTTGGTTAGGCAAAGATAGAACCCATACCTAACAGAGTTAATGTTAGGGATATAAGAGTTTGTATTTTTTTTTTTTCTAACACATGGCTTTACTATGTACGTAAATTAAAAGTATAATTAATATATTTTTTAATTATTAAATTATATTAAAAAATAAAAAATTAATATTAATTTTAACACTAATACTACATGTATTATTTTAATTGGTTAGTTGTTAAATTAAAGTTAATCTTTATTTTTTTAGATAATTTAGTGATTAAAATGTGTATTAATTGCATCATTTTCTCATTAATTGTTATGAAAATAATAAAATTAACTTTAATTTTATCAATTACCTAACTAAAATTATGCATGTATTATTTGGTGATGAAAACAAAATTAATCTTTTTGTTTTCTTATACAAATTAATAAAAAAAATGTATAATTAATGCACATTTAATTATTGTTCTTAGGAGAAAGATTAGATAAACCCAAAAAAATTGTTTCCCTTCTTTTTGGTATTTAGATATTAGAAATTGAAGTTTTTTTTTTTTTTTTTGAGAAATATTAGAAATTGAAGTTTAAACATGTTATTAAGAGCACCTAAAAAATCTGTACACCATTGTAAGAGTTAACGGCATATTCAATGAATGGATCACTTTGGAGCTGGTAAAGGCAATAAGAAAAAGATTGTTAAAGGCCCAACCCCGTCGAAAACCCATAGGCCCAAAAAGTCCACTTACAAAAAAGCTCAATTCACCTCCAAAAAAGCGCGTCGTGGAAAAGCTAGAGGGAAGGGAACAGAGAAGGTCCCCAAACTCGCAAAGCTGAGTCATCCATCTTTTTAAAGCGTTTTTTTTTTTTTTTTGTTCACTAAAGTTTAACACTGTAAGTTTTTCCTTCTATAAACACAGAAGAAGAAAAAGAAAAGGAGGATCTCCAACGAAAATCCAAAATTCCGTAGGTTTATTCATCTTTTCCGATACCTAATTCTGAGTTTTTCTTCTCCGTCCGATTCACCTATTGTAATTATTTCGTTAATTTTTTTTTTCTCAGCCGGACTTTTGATCGGATCGCCATGGCAATTGCTTCGGATGAAACAACGTGTATATGCAATCACTGGTATCAATTCATATGGTTTACTATCCAGTTTTTTATTCTTTTTTTTTTTTTAATTGTGAATTCCTCGCGTAAATTTTAGTTGCTTTATCTCAGCTAAGTGTTTGGATTCATCAATCGGCTTAGATAGGTTTATAGAGTTGAATCATGCAGCTTTTTCTTTGTTCTTTTTAATATTTGTTTGCTTTCGGGGAAAATTGTGTTGATCCAATTTGTCTGAAGTCTATGTGATGTCAGTTTGATGCTTTTTTGATCTCTTCTTATTATTTGTTTCCCGTGATTGTGGTGGTGAATTCGTTTGAAGTGCATGTTCGAAATTTATATCGGACTTTTAAAGGTGTTAATTTTATGTGATTGTGCTTCTGGTTACATGGTTTGTTGAAAGCTGTACCCTTCGGTTGAACTTGATGAATGTGTGTATGTTATACTGGATTTTGAATTTCTGGTTTCCATTTTCGAGAATTTTGAAGGTTTTCTGGTTGTGCAAGTTATGTATTGTCAATGAGTTGTATGCATTAACCTTATGCTGATTATTTACTGTGTGTGAATTTGGTTGGTGCGTGTTATACTAGATTGCTCTGTGTACCGGTGCAGTTGGCAGATATGTTTCCTTAACTCTTTGCTTGTAAGGTGAATTATGTGATTTTTGGATCAAATATTGTGGAAGTTTATATTTCATTTTTCAGCTGGAATGTGGAATATGAGGTGGCATCATAAATGTTTGAATCTGTTATGCTTTAGTTTTGAAGTTGTTGGCATTAAGTTTTTCAAATTTCAATGAATCAATGAGTAATTTCTCTTTTTCCCTTGTTCTCTGGCATTTCTCCCCTCTTCCCCTTACAGATGGTATTTTTGTTATTTCCAACTGTTTGGTTGCAAATATTTTTGGTATCTTTTGATTGATGATGGCCAGAAATTTCCTGTAACATCTGATGACATATTTTAGTTTCTTTTTATTTGCTGACTAATGCAAGAAACTTTAAGATGATTAATTTTTCCTTTCTAAAATTTTTAGTGACAGAGCTATCCCTTCTTCAAATATTGATTTGCATTATGCTTATTGCTCCCGCAATCTGGAGAAGTGTAAAGTTTGTGGTGAAATGGTCCCAAAAAAGCATGCCGAGGAACATTTCTTAAACACCCATGCACCGGTATGTGAGTTTTGATGTGTTCTCATTGTTTTTAAATATATGATGTTTCTATAACTTCTTTCTTCCTTTTACCTGTTTCCCAATCATGATGAGGTTGTCTGGTCATTCCTTGAACTTTAAGGGGCTGAAATTGAACTTATTGGTAAAGAACAACCTTTGGGTGGCTGTAATTTTTTTTTACCAAAGATATCTGGAAAATTTAACTTATTCCATAAGCAGGCATTTAAGAGAATGCCATATGATAGGAATAGTGAAGCAAAGCTTAGTGTTATAATTGTGCGTGATTAATGTGACAGTGGCACACGCATTTGGGCCATGTAGGAACCTATAAAAAGCAAGGGTGGATTATTCAACTGAGAAATAAAGCATAAAGGAAAAGAATCAAAATGGCAGCTGCTGTGCATAATTTGCATAGGTGAATTACTAAAGTAAGAGATGCAATACATGCTAGATGGTTGAAGGTTAGAAGTCATCATCCTATCTGACCCTATTTGATTTCAAAATGGAATACTTGATTCAAATGGCCACGTGGTAAAATGCTTGAAATTAGAAAATGCTGGAGTGGCCTCTTTCTTTGATGGATGTCTGAGGAAAGTCTGTTCATTTATTTTTCTTGCTCAGACAAGCCTGATGATGTACTAATACTGGGATAATGTCTTGTAATTTATAAATGTAAGGCAGATTCCACTCCCATCTACAAGTTGGTTGGGTTATTTAAGAGAAAATATTCATCACCACTGGTCATTTCTAAGATTTATTAAAGAAACCAAGACAACAGCTCTTAAGTAAACTGCCTTTTAAATGGAAAACTGAACAGATGAATTAAGCTGATTATATTTAGCTAAGCATTTCATCCTAGGTATATTATAATGTAATATTATAAACATCTGTTGTTGTTTAACCATTGCAATTCGACATCTACCTAATATGTATGTTATATGCATATGTTACATGTGATTGACCTTTATGTATGGGACCAGGTGGCCTGTTCACTATGCCGTGAGACAATGGAACGTGAAATTTTAGCTATCCATAAAGGTGAAAATTGTCCCCAGAGAATTGTCACTTGTGAGTTCTGTGAGTTTCCATTGCCTGCTATTGATCTGGCTGAGCATCAGGTAATAATAATTCTCAGTGAATGATAATATCCAATACTGCACTGAGCAAGTGGGTTAAATCCGTTTTGCTTGGTGATTTTAGGAAGTCTGTGGAAATCGGACAGAACTCTGTCATTTATGTAACAAATATGTTAGACTTCGAGAAAGATACAACCATGAAACTAGGTGCCCTGGCATCCCAGAAAATACTGCAGGACCTTCCAGGTACATATGCTAATTTTTCATTTAATGTTTGAATAAATTCATGGCTTTCTTCTTCTTCCTTTACCATTTTTTTTCATTTTTTAATAAAAATCTGGAGATTAGAACTGACTTCTACATGGTTTATTTATTTATTTTAATCTTTTAGCTTTAGTTAATGGCCTGTTGTGGTTATATCTTTACTTCTAGCATCCAAGTGTTTGCATATATGGATTATGGAATTTAGGTGAAAGAGTCATTACAAATTTCAGTGAAGATACTGAAAATTTTGTGAAATAAACTTTGAATCCATCGTGATGATTTAGATTAGGGCAACTATCATATTTCTATAACATGGACGTCATGCATAGAGCAATTGGTTTGGTCTAATTAATGATGCATGTGAATGAATAGAGTAGATAAAAGCCGGTAATAAGCATGTCGGATTGTTTATTGACGGGGATTATCATTTCACCTGTAAGAACCATTTGTGGGTTGCTCGTTTGTCTGATACTAGTCTCCCTTCCCCACAATTCCTCCCAACATGAAGTGTTCAATCTTGCATAGTTTACCTTGTGTCATGTATGAGAGGAACTTCAATTTCCTAACTCCGCCTTTAAGTCCACTTTATGGACTTCTCTGTATGCCAAAAATTATGTGGGACTGATCTTTTGTTTTCTGTTATATGTTTGTAGAATATTTTAATTTCAGTTAATTTTCATGATCTATCATGGATTCACTTATTCCACTTGGAAACTATCTTTAGGGATGTCAGGACGACAGAAAGAGAGCAAGGTGCTTCGAGGAGGCAGCCACCTGAATTTTCACGGAGAAGACTTCTATACACCATTGCAATTACAGGTGTTGCTGTCGTATTAGGATCACTCTTTTTTCAGAGGAAGACGGAGGCAGCAGATGGACATTAGTAGAATTAAGGGAGGGACACCGGCTATCATATTTTGTAAATCAGCTTAATTACATATTCCATTCCTGTATCTGAATGTATCCGAGTATATGGTACCATTTATCAACTAACTGACAGCCTGAGCAAATGCTTGTTTCTTGGTTTATAAATTGCACGCTGACTGATACTCTCTTTACACCACCATTGTTTAACTCATCGTTCAATTCTATGTGCCGATTTACCTTCAGGTTATTGCTTCATGCTCCATAGCATTTTTGTAGTGTATATATGAATGCAGGAAATTTAATCTTAGGAGATTGGAGTTTTTTAATTGTGATGTTATATATTTAATTAATTTAGTAACATATTATAATCATAGATTTATAATATTTTAATTATAAAAATGTTATTAATATATGACTTAATAAAATAATATTTTTTATTTGAATGGATTATATTAAAGGTGAGGGACTCGAATTCAATTCTTGAATTGAAAGATATATACTTTCAACAAGATATAAAGTTATTGGATCACGAAGTTTAAGTTTGGTAAAATAATAGTTTTTAAAGAAAAGAATTGTTTTAAAATAAATTCTTATTATTAAAAATGGAAAGAGAAGAAGCGAATTTTTATTATCCCAATATCAAATAAATTAAAAATAAATAAAAGTGTTTTGCAGTGCAGTAATTATTGGATGGTGAGATGCCCACGACAACAACAGGGCGGACTTACCCTTCAATTTCAATGTTTCGGTTTTGGCATCTCAGCATTTGATCGGACTGCAAACTGGACTGAATTAAAATTTGCTCTCTCAACGGTACAGTTACACCTTACCCGCCAGTACCCGCAGAAACGATCACCTGGTAGCATCCCCACCTCCAATCCTCCGAAACCCTAGCTATCTAATCTCCTGCGAAAACGCCCATTTCGACCACGGACAATCATCCACTCAGCTTCGTTTAATGAATTCAGAACCGATGATCCGCTGAGATCCCATGGCGACCAAATTGCGGTGCATCCTTGATTGTTTCAGTGATTGCAGTGGCTGTAACAAGCACAAAGGTAATCAGAAAAAGGTAACATGCAAATAATGAAATTGTGCATCAATTTCTGTTGTTTTCAAGATATAGCGACTTCAGAAACATGCATTAACTAGAAATTCACGTTGAAATGGAGAGATAAGGATAGGCGTGTCAATATTAATTTCTTACGTGACAGTAGGAATAGCGACTTCTATGTTCTGCCACAACCACAAGTCATAAATATCATCTCTTCTATGCTCATGTTCATGTTCTCTAAGAAATCATTCACCAGGTCCCTTTACTTTGCTGTTATGAATTCATATGCTTGATTTTGTCTTCTTTGTATTTTATTTTTGGGTTTCTTTATGTGTAGGTCAATTTGGTTTCTTCTAAAGGATTTAGCTTTTGGGTATTTTGGTTCTGTTCTGAGACTGTTGTTTATGTAATTTCAGATTCACAGAACATCATTGAGAATAATCATTGTGCTCAACATAGTCTGAAGGATAAACTTTGTCCTGCCATGCCGCCTCAAGGGGTTTGCTTGCATATTCAGGATCACCATGTAACTAAATTTGCTTGACTTTCTTTTATTTTCTTCCCCTTCTTTTTCCTTTTTCATTAGTATTATGGGTGTCAAATAGAATGTTATGGAAATTATCATTTGAAGTTTTAATGATTTATGTTGGCCTTAATGTGTCTGTTCTGATTTGAAATGAGTGCAGGTGATTGTGGATAATGGGATAGTACAAGTTACATTATCTAAACCTGGGGGTATTGTCACTGGAATTCGATATGATGGCATTGACAATTTGCTTGAAATTCAAAACAAAGAAACTAATAGAGGGTACAAAGTGTTTCAACTTTCAACTGCTTTCAGCATTATTTTTTTTGTTTCCGATTGTTTTATTGCTAACTGCTGTTGCTGATGAAAAGTTTTAATCCTAATTGTTGATAATAATTTAAATCATAAATATTTTAGTCTTGAAGAATCTCTATACCTGGCCTTAAGTTAGAGTGTGTACATTAGGGGAGAAAGACAGTTTGTAGGTCTTTCTTACAGAAGCAATGGTTTTTGGACAGGCATATTGGAGATGTTTAATGTAAAAAATTCCAACCAGTGGGGATATAACCATATTATCTTGGATAATTTTATCTCTTTATTTATGCTTTACCTATTCATGCAGCCAATTAAACTATTTACCCTTGCTGACTGAATTTTCTCATTTTAGGTACTGGGACCTTAACTGGAATGAACCAGGAGGAAAGGGAATATTTGACGTGTATGTCATTCCCTCTGTTTTATCTCTATGGATGTAATGTTCACCATTGTATTCTATTACCTAGTTTCATTTGGAAAATGTTTCCATCCAAAAAATCCTTTTTTTTCATGTCTGCCAATTGGACTATCTGCAGGAGTATAATTATTTAATAGGTAAGCATGCTAGAAAAATGATAAGCAATTTTTTGTTCTTATTTTTCATAATGGCAGCTGGATTTGGCATGGTCATGCTATTATAGATATAATGCTCAGCACAGTGTGCTTCTTGGTTATCCAACATCTTTTAGAAGTCATAGAAATTATATATTGAAAATCTTTTGTAAGCTTGAGTTGGTTGTTGTCCATGTATACTCTTCTTTAGATTAGTTATTTCTTTTACAATCTTTAGCTTATCCTTTCTTGTTTTTGCTGTGTTCAAAAGATATTTGAGATTCATCATTACCTTTTCTTTGGCCTTTAGCCTTGTATTTTATTTATATGTCTCACAATTTACTTTTAATTTTTTTACTAATTTTTTAGCTTGAAACTTGCTTGTGATTACACAGAAACTGTTGCATATCAAATTATACTCATCTTAAAAATAAAAAATAAAATAAGGTAAAATTGAAGCAATACTTTTTCCTGTGCAGGATTTATGGAACCTCCTTTAGAGTTATAGTAGAAAATGAGGAACAAGTTGAACTCTCATTCTTGAGGACTTGGGATCCCTCCCTGGAGGGCAAGTACATTCCCCTAAATATAGATAAAAGGTCCTTGATAACCTATACAAATGTTTTTAATGGAGCTGTAAATAACTGCAATACTGATCAGGACTACTTTAATCCAGGTTTGTACTGCTCCGTGGTTCTTCAGGCTTCTACTCCTATGCCATTTATGAGAAGTTAAAGGAATGGCCTGGATTTTCTATTGGGCAAACCAGAATTACTTTTAAGCTCAGAAAAGACAAGTAAACAACTCATAACCTGTTCTTCTGTTTGTAGTATACTGCTTGTATGTTCTTCTGCTAGATAGACTGCTCATAAACGTAGTGATCATACCATCATTTGGGACTACCAATGTAAAGTGATCTTTTTATTTTTTTTTCCTTTTATGAGGAAACATAGCAGAAAAAGCTCTGTTTGTGTGAATTGATTTTCGATGCGTCTGTTACACCCGTGCGTTCTCATTTGTGCCAAAAAGATCTTCTTCTTCTTAGTTTTGTTAGGAAAGAGGGATATTGATCTAAGAAATTTGCTAGTATATCCTAATCATGAAATGGTAGGATGAGCTGTGGTTCAAATATGCCCTAGGTTCTTATGTTAAAAAGAAATGAAGAAAAAGAAGGGAGTATATAGGTGAAATACACAATTGGTTGATTATGCATGACTTTAATTCATGTATTAGGTTCCAATACATGGCTGTAGCAGATAACAGACAAAGAAAGATGCCCCTTCCTGATGACCGATTGACAGGAAGATGCCAACCCTTGGCATACCCAGAAGCAGTCCTACTCATCAACCCCATGGATCCAGAGCTCACAGGCGAGGTATTTCTTGTATGCCCTTCTTTTAGTGCATTTGGGAATGTCATTTTCCATCACAAAGCTAAGCTTTCTATGTTTTGCTTGATCCCACTAAACCTAGCTCAATGTAGAGTAGGGATGCTTTTGCCTTGAATGTTTTCATGCATGATTTCATTATGGTTTTATAAGATTTGCAGGTGGATGACAAGTACCAATATTCATGTGAGAACAAAGATCTTCGTGTCCATGGGTGGATAAGCTTTGATCCCCCTGTGGGTTTCTGGCAAATCACACCTAGTGATGAGTTCCGATCTGGTGGACCCCTCAAACAGAACCTAACCTCGCATGTTGGCCCCACCACCTTGGCTGTAAGTGACTGATCTTACTGTTTGTTTCGAATCCTCTTTTCACTAATTAATTAACCTCATTAGAAATCATATTATCAGATGTTTCATAGTGGACATTACGCTGGAAAATATATGACATTGGAATTTCAACCGGGAGAACCATGGAAGATGGTCTTTGGCCCTGTTTTTATCTATTTTAATTCTTCTACAAAAGGAGATGACCCCCTTTGGTTGTGGGAGGATGCTAAAATCCAGGTATGACATTTCAAATTGCATACACATTTAACTGCCTAAATTTTGAAAAGATTGCTAGTGTGATCTAGTGAATGAACTAGTGCATCATTTGCTCTGCAGATGATGAATGAAGTTCAGAGCTGGCCATATAGTTTCCCTGCTTCTGAGGATTTCCAAAAAGCAGAACAACGGGGCAATGTTAGTGGTAGACTACTAGTCCAAGATAGGTGTGCTTGCAATATATATCTACTGTACTATTATAAGCAGAATAATACTTTTGTAAGTGTGAAAGTTAGTACAACTGAAAGACATTATCTTTTTTTTTTTTTTTAACAGAAAAATATGATCTTCTTATAAACAAACTGTTAAGAGACTTAGAAAAATTTCACAATATTTCACTATTTGTATTCGTCACTTTTGAGAAAAGAGAAAATGATTCAACCATCTGTGATGTCATTATAGAATTGGACATAATTGCAATTCTAGTGGTTGGTATGAAAGGATAGGAGACAATAATCTAGTACTAGAAATATAGCTGGGAATTTATTTTCCTTATTTTATTGCATGTTTTACATATGTAGAATTTCTAATTTGTAGAAGTCTAATCTATATATGATTTTGCTTGTATTTCATCAACTGATTTCACTTGAGGGTAGATTTCTGTGAAATTGAATCATCTAACAGAAAAGAAAAGAAAATAAAAGAAGAATGAATGCCTTTTATTGTTCTATCTTGTTGGGTAACATAACTGAATTACTTATTATGACACTATCTAGGTATATTAGTGATGACTGTATAATAGGCAGTGGTGCTTTTGTTGGGTTGGCTCCTCCAGGAAATGCAGGATCATGGCAAACTGAATGCAAGGTAAGATTATTTTACTTTTACATTCTCATGCAATTTAGGTGACATAAGCATTTTGGTACCTCCTGTTATCTTCCTTTCCCTTTTCTCCTCCTTCTGAGGTTTACACTTTTGAATGCGTGAGGGAAAAAAATAGCGTATCCACTAGAGATGAACTCTAGTATTTTATTTCTCTACTTGGTTAGGTGGCAAGTGAGAAAGTTGACCAGACAAAATTACTTACCTCTGTAAAAGGTTTATCACATTTTCAGAAACTATATTATATGACCTATTTTATGGAAATTTATATTAGAAACTAGTTTTTTTGGGTTCAACTAGTGACAACCTCAAAGATGGTGATTCTGCTACATTGCTTATTACTAGAACTACCAATTCTGGACCAGAGCAGATGAGAATGGCTTTTTCTCCATCAACAATGTACGCACTGGTGAATATAATCTTTATGCATGGGTTCCTGGCTTCATTGGAGATTATCGATATGAAGCTGTCATTACCATAAGCTCAGGTATTATTATTCTACAGAAATTCATGACTTTTGAAAAAGACTAGCGCAACAATACTTATAAGGTATAAACTTCTGATGAAGGTTGCAACGTTGAAATGGGCAATCTCATTTATGAGCCTCCAAGAGATGGCCCCACATTGTGGGAAATAGGCATCCCTGATCGCTCTGCTGCAGAGTTCTACATTCCTGATCCTGATCCAAAGTATATTAATAGACTTTTTGTCAATCATCCTGACAAATTTAGGCAGTATGGATTGTGGGATAGATATACAGATTTGTATCCTGACGAAGACTTGGTTTACACTGTTGGTTTTAGTGACTACAGCAAAGATTGGTTCTTTGCTCAGCTTGTCAGGTGCAGTTCTTTAAACATAGTCTACATTTTTTTTTCTTTTATTATCAAGTCTATGTAATTTTCTTGATAATAATGATTGATAATTTCAGGAAGATTGGCGAAAATACATATCAAGGAACTACATGGCAAATCAAGTTCAAACTTGAAAATGTGGATCAGAGTGGGACTTACAGACTGCGAGTGGCAATTGCTTCTGCTACTCTATCTGAATTGCAGGTGAATAATTTTAAAATTTGTGGGTGGATCCAACAGGAACCCCTTGCAGTACACTACTCTGTTAAGTCTGTTAAGGTCCTTTTCAAACATAATTTTTCCTTCTTTAGGTTCGGGTTAATGATCCAACAACAAATCGTCCTCTGTTTACAACTGGACTGATAGGGAGAGATAATGCAATTGCAAGACATGGAATTCATGGGCTCTACATGCTGTACAGTGTGGACATACCTGGTGCTCGGTTTGTTGAGGGGGAGAATACCATCTTCTTTAAACAACCAAGATGCAATGGCCCTTTCCAGGGAATCATGTATGATTATATTCGTTTAGAAGGTCCCCCAGCATTTTGTTCAACTTAATAAGACTTCAAATCTGAATAAGGTATGTGTGTTTATTTTTTTTGTTAGTTCCCCATAAACATCTACAGATCTACTGTATCTCCCTACCATGTTATGTGTAAATAGCGAAGTGTCTGTTTCAAAAAATTGAATGTAAGTAAATGTTTATGTATATCAATGGAAATATATTATTCAGTTAGCTATGCATCATGAAGTAAATCCATCATTCGTTTTAGGTTCAAATCAGCTAAAAAGGTCCTTTGGATTACAGCTGGTTTAGTAAAATGGTTTAACAACCGTTTTAATTTTAAAATCCCCAACTCCCTCTCACAAACGGAAATTTTGAGCCAATATGTGTTCATTTCTTTGATGATATAGTGATTGTTTTGAAGGTTTTTCTTATAATGATGTGAACAAATTATTATCGAATCATTAAAAATAGTAGAATATGACAAAACCAAAGTCAGGGTTTTAGGTAAGGGATTCTTTTCGCATGGTTGAAAAACTTGCAGTTTGCGACATTGTTTTGATTTTCCTTCCACCAGTTGACTTATTCTGGAAACAGAAAATGATGTCTTGCATAGTTTTTTAAAATTGCACTGTAAGTCAAATAATGAGATGTTATTATCAGATGAATTTGTCAAACTCGTGCATTTAAGGTAAAAATTGACTTTAAATTTATTAATTATTTTACTAAAATTATTCAAATGGCTTTAATTATAAAAATAAATATGAATTTAACTTGTGCACATAGGGTTGAAAAACCCTTTCTCCAAAATTGTAGTTTATGAACCTGTTATTCAATTAGTGCAAAATTCAACCGTATCACCTCCATATATCCTAGCATGAATGATTTCTTTCAAAAATAAAAAGAGACAAGACCCAAAATGTCGCAAGGGGGAAGTGGATTACCTTCAATTACATAATCAATCTTTTGTAAAAATTCTAGCAATCGAACCCTCAAAATCACTCATACACCATCCTTTTGATGTCAAAGCAAACAAATTCACATCCCAATTTCTCTACCTAAGAGGACTAAGGGGTTCATGGAAAACATTAAAAACCAAAAGAAATAGATAACAATAAGAAAACAATTATGTAATAATAAGTGCAACATTTCAATTGGTGTATTAACAACTTAACCCAATTACCTTTTATGAGTTATGTATTTGAATTTCACAAATTTTCTTTCTTTATTTCCTTAATTAATAAGTAAATAATAAAAAATAAAAAATAAAAAAAGAAGAAGAAAGAAAACTAACCCCAGTTTTTTTGTATATCTTTGCACTGTTTTTGACTGAAAGAATTTCACATTCACATGAGGAAAGTTCTTGGGCACCAACGAAGAAGTGACGACAAAGCAAAGAGACAACCACCCAAATGGAAAAAATGTCAATAAAGCTCCTTCCGCAGTTTGATGGACCCGCCAATAGTCTCAATACTGAGGTTCTTCTGGGTGTCGGGTTTCTCACTCTCTCCCTTTCTCTGCTGTCCTCACTATGCTCCTTCTTCTTCCTTTGAGTTTCAGAACTCGCTGCGATAACAGAGACCTGTAGAAGGAGGAAGATGGGATTTGCGATGAGTACAGCTGCAGCGCCATCACCACCGGTGCAATTGTGCATGCAAGATAAATATGTAAATTATATATTGGTAGTTCTTGTTTTTGCAAGGATTTCTTGCTCTGTTCTTCAAGTTAATGAAGATTGAATCTTGTGCAGGTGGTAATGGATAATGGGATACTGCAGGTAACGATATCGAATCCGGAAGGAAACGTGACTGGTATACAATATAATGACATTGATAATTTGCTTGAAGTTGAGAATGAAGAACCAAATAGAGGGTACGCAGAATTACTCTGCTTTATTATTTTATTTTATTTTATTATTTTAAAACTCTACAGCTCCTCAACTTCCCATGTTTTTCATTTTTTTTTTCTCTTATTGGGGCCCTTACAATGTGAGTTAACCATCTCCCTCCTTGCATTTCCTCTCTGGTGTCATCATGATTCGCACTCAAAATCTTTACTTTCAAGATGCAGGCATGTGGTAGGATAAATTTCTCTTGCTTCATGGGTTTCTTCCTTTGAGTTTCACACTCAATGATCCTAGTAGGGCTAATGCCCAATCTTGACTCAATAGTTCTGCCCTGCCAACATTAACACCAGGCTAGAGAGATCTGTGAGCTATTATAGTTCATCTGTTAATTCTCTTTTCTTTTCATTTTCTTGTTTAGGTATTAAAAATAAATAAATAAATAAATAAGACGTGAAGAGCATTCATTATTTGTTGGATCTGCTTATTTTCATGACAGTTCTGACTTCTATGCAAAAGCTGTTATAGGATGCATCACCCGTGAAACAAACAAAACTATGGGTCACGTAACAGTTTGTTCTTGCCTTCAAGCAGCAAATACTGTATTGGGAGTAGCCTTATCTTTTTGGTCCTGTTGCTCTAGAAATAATGGCTAGGTTCATACAAAAGCATGTTGTGTTAACCCGTGACCTGTTGTTGTCTCACAGAGGATAAACATAATGAAATAAACCAAAAAGCAACCTTAAATTGGGATTAAATTCATGAATTCAAACCTCTATCATGCAAAGCAGCTAACTTTTCTGATGTACTAGAATAAAAGCTAACTAAATTCTCTAATGGAATCAAAAGGTATTGGGACCTTGTCTGGAATGCTGAGGGAACAAAAGGAACAAAAGGGAAATTTGATAGGTATGTTGTTATCTCGTGACCCATGTTTTTTATTTTTTATTTTTTAAATTTCACTTCATTATTTTGATTCAATAGGAGTTTTTTTTTTTTTTTTTTTTTTTTTTTTTATTTTTAATGTGAAGAATTATAAGTCTGTGAGACAGTTACTGGTTGCTGTTTGCATATGCAGGCTAGAAGGGACAAAGTTTCAGATAATTGTGGAAAATGAGGATCAGGTGGAGATATCATTCACTAGAATGTGGGATCCTTCCCTCGAAGGAAATGTTGTCCCTTTGAACATTGAGAAAAGGTACTGAATTAAATTTCACCTCTGAAACATTACGCCCGTTAATTCCCTTGCTGTTTTGGTTAGTTCAAAACCTGCACTGGCATAGGGCCAACTTCACCACAAATGAAGAGTTACTAACATTGTTATGGGAAAAGGGAGAATTATTTCCTGTTAGACAAGGTTGATATCTGAGATTTTTTTTTTCTTAAATTGACTCTTAGTGCACTTTCCAGGTTTGTAATGCTGCGAGGTTCCTCAGGGTTCTATACATATGGCATTTATGAGCACCTGAAGGAATGGCCTGGTTTCAACCTTGACAGGAACAGGATTGCTTTCAAGCTTAGAAAAGACAAGTAAGCACATTTTTCACTATTCCCTATTTTAACATTCTCAAACTTATTCCATATAGAGCTGATGCACAGAATTCAGCAAAATACTTGGGTTTTAGGCCTATTGCTCTTGCCCTCTTTTTTACTAAAAAATTTACCTGAAGAAGAAGACTGTTTTGAATGCCTCAGGTTTCATTACATGGCCATAGCAGACAACAGGCAAAGAAAGATGCCTCTACCAGAGGACCGGTTACCTTACAGAAGCCAACGTCTGGCCTATCCAGAGGCAGTCATACTCATTGATCCATTGGAAAAAGAGTTTACAGGAGAGGTATTGGTTCCACATTTCTTCATGAAAAATTTCATGACACCCTTCCTTAATTGCCAAATTTTTGTAATTTTAGGATCTGATTGATGTAGGTTGATGACAAGTACCAATACTCTTGTGAAAACAAAGATAACATGGTCCATGGATGGATTTGCACTGAGCCTCCTGTTGGGTTCTGGCAAATTACACCTAGCAATGAGTTCAGAACTGCTGGCCCTGTCAAACAAAACCTCACATCCCATGTTGGTCCGACCACCCTTGCAGTAAGCTATAATCTAATTTCCATCCTAATTCTTCCTTTACATTTCTCATTAATTGTATTATTCTCTCTAATCATCTAAACTCACTTCATTACTGAAAACCAGGTATTGCACAGTGTTCATTATACTGGAGAAGAGCTAGTACTAAGATTTGGATCTAATGAGGCATGGAAGAAAGTTTTTGGCCCCATTTTTGTTTACCTCAATTCTTTGACAAATGGAGGTGATCCACCTGAAATACTCTGGGATGATGCTAAGAAACAGGTTTAACATTGAAAAGAACTGCTTTTCCTTGATTCCTTTTAGTTTGGGTAGATTTTTAGTGGATATTAATTTCCTGTTATTCCATAAATTTGCTTTAAGATGATGAATGAGGTGCAATGCTGGCCCTACAGTTTTCCGGCTTCAGAAGACTTTCCGCATTCTGATGAACGGGGTACCGTCAGTGGCAGATTATTAGTGAGAGATTGGTAACAACCCCTTTCTGACTTTATATCTTTCTTTAAAAACTTGGTCATGGATAGAAGGTCATTGGTTTTTCCTTTTTCCAATTGATACAGTTTTGTTTCTGGTGAGGAGATTCCAGCAGATGGTGCATATGTAGGCTTGGCACCCCCTGGAGATGTTGGATCTTGGCAAAGAGAAGTCAAGGTAAAACTCAAGTTTCTAATACCGGATATGAAAGCATCTAACGCCGCTTTATCATCTTATAATCACAAAATAATCCATTTTAATCATAGAAAAATGTGGTTTTTTCTTGGCAGGGTTACCAATTCTGGACCATAGCTGATGCAGATGGCTGTTTCAGCATTAATAATGTTAGGATAGGCGACTATAATCTCTATGCATGGGCCCCTGGTTTCATTGGAGATTATAGATATGACTGTGTCATAACCACAACCCCAGGTTCTCTTCCCTCATTACTCGGTTCAATTCACAAACTCCTTTCATTTCAGCCCATGTTATATGGATTCATGATCAAGTAACAAACTAGGTTATCTGTCACAACATCAACACCTTATTCCTCAGATATCAAACTTGGTTATTTTATTTTCTTTGTTTTCTAAAATTTAATTAAATTGCAGCCTATGAAATTGTCTTGGGTGATCTTGTTTATGAGCCTCCGAGAGATGGCCCTACATTGTGGGAAATAGGAATCCCAGACCGCTCAGCCAGAGAATTCTATGTTCCTGATCCTGACCCTAAGTACATCAACAAACTATATGTTAACCATCCTGACAGGTTGGCCTTCCTTCTGATTCTAAAAGAAAATTCCATCTTTAAAATCTGACATCCAAGTTAAAACATCTATATTTGGAGATCTTTTTTTTGTTTTGCTATATTGGCAGATTTAGACAATATGGACTATGGGAAAGATATGCAGAGTTATATCCTGATGAAGATTTGGTCTACACAGTTGGCACTAGTGACTATAGAAAAGATTGGTTTTTTGCCCAGGTTACAAGGTCTACTCTTTCCACATTTGTCCCTATGTCCAAGTATCCGTAAAAGATTTGAAATTTTCATCCATATCTCCACATTTTGATCATGATAAGTGATTATACCTCAATAGAAATGTTCTTTTGGGTCTGAACAAACAAAAAATGTCAGTTTGGATTTAAATGACTAAAATGCCTTTTGAATCGACTGAATGTTGTCAGCATTTTAGTCATTTCTTGTCTGGAAATCAGAAATTAAGGGAAGAACATTTCCAGTATATCTCAACATGTAGAGAAAGCTTATGAAATATCTATATATTCACAATATAAACTGTAAAACATGCAGAAAGAAAGCTGACAACACATATGAAGGAACAACATGGCAAATAAAGTTCAGACTAGAATGTGTAAATCCTAGCGGGACATACAAGTTGCGATTAGCATTGGCTACTGCACATGTTGCTGAACTTCAGGCATGGGAAATTCATCTCATAATCCAACTCAAATAAAATTTATGAAGTTTTGATGAAGCTAACATTAATGTTTCTTTTTTCATCTTCCTTTTTGTAAATTTGAAAGGTGCGGGTGAATGATCCTTCCATGAATCCTCCTCTATTCACCAGTGGACGAATTGGTAAGGATAACACGATTGCTAGACATGGAATCCACGGGCTTTATTGGCTATTCAGTGTGGATGTTCCAGGCAATCTGCTCCTGGAAGGAGATAATAACACCATTTTTCTTACACAAGCAAGAAGTGAAAGCCCTTTCCAAGGGATAATGTATGACTACATTCGTTTAGAAGGCCCTCCAACTTAATTCCATCTGGAGACCCTTTATCTCATTCCATTGAAAATTCAATTGTTATAGTAACATTGCTATTATTTCCTAGTGTTTTAATTAATCTATTGTAAGTTCACATTCATGATTTGTTTGAACGAGAATTTGTTCAAGTTATAAATTTAAAAATCGGAGCAGTCTTAAAGATTTTGTGATTTATGAACCAAATTGACTAAAAAAATATTTGCTAAATGTATTATAAAAAGAAAAAAAAGAAAGATATAAACTCAATTAGATATGCGATGTTTATTTATTTATTTTTTGAATATTTTAACATGAGATGAGTTCGAAATTCACCTAAAAAAAAATGTATTTATTCAATAACTAATGTCATTTTTTTTTTTTTTTTGGTGGAAATAACTAATGTCATTTGGTCTCTAGGATCAAGTGATGAGCGATGGTTTTATGCCCTTTATTAGATGAGCTTTTTTTATGCTGCTCCCTTTGCCCAACTAATCAGCTTCGGTTACTAAAGCGTAGCTGATTTATAAAATGCCACGTGGATGAATGAATTTCCGCATATATTATTTAAGGAATAAGGATATGAAAATAGGGACGGAACCGGAAAATAATTTTAGGGGGCGAAGTTTTACTTAAAATGTATATGTTAAATAAGATTAAGACTTAAATATATAAAAATTAACTTTTTAAAGACTTTAAATATAAAAAATTAGTTAAATTTTATTTGTATTTAAATTTGAATCTGAAACATAATTTTTATTATAAAATATTATTTAATATGATCCAAATAGTAAAATTAAATATTTTAAAAAATTAGTGATACTGATTTTGAATCAATTTTATTTTGTTATTTAATACAAATGATCATTAATTATGTATATATCACAATGAGAA